GGGAGCGCCGCCGCGCTTCCCAAGCGGCGCACTTATCCAGTGCGCCACCGGGCCGGCCCTAAAACCAGTTCTAAGCATAGTATTAATTCACTCATAAAATACTCCAGTATAAATCAGTAGTTTATAGACTTCTGAAAAATGTCATCACAATGCAGTTTATTATACTTAACAAAAATCACAGTAATTTCCTGCTAAAAGGTTTGACAGTAGAGCATCAGTTAGAGTTTATGTTAGGACAATGGAATAAAGTAGATATGAGATTATATTTGTTGATAGGATAGTCATGGTACAGAAAAGTTAGTTATTAAACAAGACATAGAGTATGATCCCATTTTTGTTAAATAATATCATGGATATTTGTATTTCTTTATATATACCCATAAGTCTAGAATGATTTGTATAATGTCTTACCAGGAATTGTCTTTGGGACGTGATTATATGCATTTTCCAATTTTTTCACAAGGAATTTTTCTATTTGATTATTTGTGCTTTGATATTATTATTTTCTAGTGGCATTGGATTTCTTTTTATGCTTTGTAGTCCATTTTGTATGTGTTGGCAAGTTTGTTTTGAGAGAATTAATTCATTTTATTTTTTATTTTTTTCTTCCTATTATTGCTTCTCCCTGTAGAGCAATTTTGCCTTAGCCTGGTACCTTGGATTCACATCTCAGAACCAGATCTTATATTTAGCAGATAGGAGGACTTTGTCTTTTGAGGAAATTGAGTTCCAATCCCCAGGAATGCTCAGGGCCTAATTCCTATTGCATAGGTTTCTCTGATACTTACCTCTCCCATGGGCAAGTGTTTTATTCCTACATGCACTTCTGAATTGGCTGTTGAAGTATTTTACCAGTATTTGATTCATGGACAGGTGCCCAGTTGTAACTACCACAGAGCCTGGCTTTTGTCTCTTTCCATATTACTCCAAGAAGTCAAATTCCTGTTCCCTACCCTCTGTTTATGTTCTTGATACCCCCAATACCTTCTAAGTCTCTGCTCTCTACTGTGGGATTTATTTATCATCAGTTGATGAACATATGGGTTATTTCCACTTTTTTCCCCCCTACAACTATGAAAAATGCTGCTATGGCACTTTTATATAAGTTTTTGTGGGGTCATGTTTTCATTTTCTTGGATATATACCTATGAGTGGGAAAGCTGGAACATAAGGTAACTCTATGTTTAATCTTTTGAGGAACTGCCAGATTGTTTTCAAAAGTGGTTGTGCTATTTCACATTACCAGCAGCAATGTAGAAGGGTTCCAATTTCTCTGCATTCTCATCTACACTTGTTATTTATCTGTCTTTTTGATTTAGCCATCCTAGTAAACATGAAGTGGTATGTCATTGTGGTTTTGATTTATATTCCCCTAATGAGTAATAATGTTGAGCATTTCTTCGTGTTCTGTTGGCCATTTCTATGTCTTCTTTGGAGAAATGCCTGTTCAGATTCTTTGCCCATTTTCAAATTGGGTTATTTTTATTATTGAGTTGTAAGAGTTCTCTGTATATTCTGAGTACCAGCCCCTTATCAGACACATGACTTGCAAATATTTTCTCCCATTCTTTTGGTCGTGTTGCACTTTCTTGATAGATGATTTGTAGCATAGTGGCTTTTAATTGTTGATGTGATCCAGTTTATCTGTTATATCTTCGTTGCTTGTGCTTTTGGTGTCACATCTAAGAAACCATTTCCAGGGTAATTAAGATTTACGCTAGTGTTTTCTTCTGAAGGTTTTATAGTTCTAACTCTTACATTCAGGTTTGTGATCCATTTTGAGTTAATTCTTGTGTATGATGAAAGGAAGAGCTACAACTTTATTCTTTTGCATGCAAATATCCAGTTGTTTCAGCAAACATTTGAAGACTATTCTTTCCCCCACTGAATCAACTTGACACCCCTGTTGAAAAATCAGTTGACTGTAAATGTAAAGGCTTATTTCTGGATTGTCATGTCTATTTCATTGATCTATATATGTCTATCCTTATGCCAGTAGTACTGTGTCTTGATTACTGTAGCTTGGTAATAAGTTTCAAAATTGGGAAGTATGAGTTTTTTCTTTTGGCTATTCCCAGCCCCTTTTACTTCCATATGAATTTTATGATTGGCTTGGAGAGGATATCTGTCTTTAGTTTTCCTATTCTTTGGATGTGTTTAGAGCAGAGAGAGAAGGTGATTATGAATATTACTCATCCATCTTGACTAGAAAGTTCTGGATTGCTTGTGTAATTTGAAGTGAATGAACAGGGAACTATGGTCTTGAATATATACATCGTGCCAGATAGTATTTATGAACTTATCAGATACGGAGTTGTACTTAAAATAGTTGAGTTTAAATAATGTGGAATCTTGCATAATTAAAGTAATTTCTTAGATTGTGAAATAATTATAACTTTTCTCTATTTTGGTACAAACAGCTCTTAAAAAGCCCCCCAAATATGAAACAAGTCATCACTTGATAAACCATTGTCATGGACAAATTTTTATAGTGATCTCATACTTTTGCCATGAACAATAGATAAAATACCTTGTGGGAGAAGTTATTGGGGGTTAAAAAACTACTTCTTGTTTTGTCGTATTAACTAAGATTTGTAAAGAATTATTTCTGTTTACCAGATATATTACTGTTCTTCAGAAGAGCCTTGTTAGCCAGAAACAGATAAAAGTACAGTAATCCCCCTATATGCGTATTTTGCTTTCCATGGTTTGCTACTCACAGTGAACAATGGTCAGAAAATATTAAATGGAAAATTCCAGAAATAAACCATTCATAAGTTTTAAATTGCAAATTAAAACCAGAATGAGATACCACTGCACACCTGTTAGATAGAATGGCCAAAATCTAAAATGCTGACAATACTAAATGCTGTCAAGGATGTGGAGCAATAGGAACTCTCATTCATTGCTGGTGGGAATGCAAAATGGTAAAGCCACTTTGTGAGACAGTTTGGCAGTTTCCTACAAAACTGAATGTACTATTACCATACTATCCAGCAGTCGCATTCCTTGGCATTTACTCACATGAATTGAAAACTTATGCCCTCACAAAAACCTACACACAGACGTTTATAGCAACCTTTTTCATAGTTGCCAAAACTTCAAAGTGACCAAGATGTCCTTCAGTAGACAAACTGTGGTACATTAAACAACGGAATATTATACAGTGCTAAAAAGAGATGAGCTGTTAAGGCGTGAAAAGATATGGAGGAAACTGAAATGCATATTACTAAGCAAAAGAAGCCAATCTGAAAAGGCTATATACTGTATGATTCCAACTATATGATATTTTGGAAAAGGCAAAACTATGGAGACAGTAAGATGAGTGGTTGCCAGGGGTTAGTAGGGAGGAGGGATGAATAGTCAGTAAACAGGATTTTTAGGGTAGTGAAACTATTTTGTATGATATACTACAATGGTGGGTGGATATGGGTCATCATAAATTTGTCCAAACCCATAGAATGTACAACACCAGGAGCGAACCCTATGTATAAACAGGATTTTTAGGGTAGTGAAACTATTTTGTATGATATACTACAATGGTGGGTGGATACGGGTCATCATAAATTTGTCCAAACCCATAGAATGTACAATACCAGGAGCGAACCCTATGTAAACTGTAGACTTTGGGTGATAATGATGTGTCAGTGTAGGTTCATCAGTTGTAACAGATGTACCACTGTGGTGGGGATGTCAGTAGTGGGTGGAGATTTGTATGTGTGTGGAGACAGGTACTCTATACTTGCTGCTCAAGTTTGCGATGAGCCTAAAACTGCTCTAAAAAGTAAAATGTATTAATTTCCTTCTTTTTTTAAAAAAAGGTTGGTATAGAGCTTTTTAAATATTTGAGTCCCTGCTTTGTGCTGTGGTAGATAATGCCTTTCGAAGGTCACAGACCAGTGGAAAAGTTCAGAATCTAATGGACTTTTGGGAAATTTTAAGAAAGTAGTTGTTTCTGTTCTGGGCATTATGGAATTTCTGATTTCCAGACCCTGACTTTGTCATACTTTCTATCCTGAAGTCTTTTAGGACTTAATAGTTTGGCCAGGTAATACAGACGTATATATTTGACAAGTTCATATCTCTTCAAAGAATAGCGTAGTCTAAGTTTTGTTTTCTTTTTTTTTTTGTCTTTTTTTTCCGTGTCCGGCAACGGATCGCAACCCTCAGTGTCGCCCCCGTACCGGACCAGGACCAGCAACGGGATCGCAACCCTCGGCGTTGCCCCCGCGCCTCGCTCAGCCAGTGAGCGGGAACCGGTCTATATGTGGGATCCGAACCCTCAGCGGGAGCGCCGCCACGCTTCCCAAGCGGCGCACTACAGCAGTGCGCCACCGGGCCGGCCCTAAGTTTTGTTTTCCATTGGTGTTAATTGGGAAAGACTTTTTTGAGAAGATAGACACTGAGTAGAGAAATAGGAATGTAATTTGCTATTTGGAGAGAGTTTGTTATTTTTGTTTTTATGTTTGTGTAAATACCATGGTTGAAGACAATCAGAATTTTTTCAAGCATCTAAAAATTTATGGTTTTGGTTCCAGACCTGTCATAAGTAGTAAGGTATGCATTCTTGGATCTCTTTTATTTTCAAGGATAATTATGCCTCTTATATTTGGGTTATGTGGATATCAGAAGACTTTTTTTATTTTTTATTTTTTTTTTGTCTTTTGTCTTTTTTCCGTGTCCGGCAACGGATCGCAACCCTCAGTGTTGCCCCCGTACCGGACCGGGGACCGGCAACAGGATTGCAAGCCTCGGTGTTGCTCCCGCGCCTCGCTCAGCCAGTGAGCGGGAACCGGTCTGTATGTGGGATCCGAACCCTCGGGCGGGAGCGCCGCTGCGCTTCCCAAGCGGCGCACTATCCAGTGCGCCACCGGGTCGGCCCCCAGAAGACTTTTTTAAAAAGTGTTTAGTTTACTTTTTGAGTAGGCAGTGTAGCCACATGGTTCAAAAATTAAAATGATTTTTAAAAAGTCAACATTGAGCAGCCTTGCATTTACCCTGTCCTCCTTTCCTAGAACTGCTATAGGTGACCACTCTTTCTGCTTAAATCTTCCAATGCTTTTTTAAAAATGAAAATATGTTATTTTAGGAAAGTTTTTTTTAATATTTAAGAAAGAGACTTTATTATTTTATTTTTATTTTTTTTATTTTTATTTTTTGTCTTTTTGTCTTTTTTCGTGACCGGCAACGGATCGCAACCCTCGGCGCCCCCCGCCCCCCCCCAGTTTTCCCTATAATTAACATCTTACATTAGTGCGCTACATTTGTTACAATTGATGAGCCAATATTGATGCATTTTTATTGTTTTATTTTAAATAAACTTTTTATTTTAGAATAGTTTCAGATTTATAGAAACATTGCAAAGACAGTCCAGAGAGTTCCCATATACAACACACCAGTTTTCCCCTATTTTTTGATCTTACAGTAGTATGGTACTTCTGTCACAACTAAAGAACCAACATCAGCACATACTTTGTTCGGATTTAGGAAGATGCTTTTCTTCCCAGAAAAGAATGTTAAAGAATATTCTAGTACTTGTATGAGGATAAGAATAAAAGTCGCAACCCCTTCTTTACTATGTCAGTCTTTGGCTTGGTTGATAAAGAACACTGAAATTACTTATGAGCTCATCCTGAAAAGTAAATGGCTACAGGGGAGACCAGAAACAAAGTAATAAGTAACATTTATTGACACCTTACTATATACTATGCCAAGTTTACAACAGTCCTGCGAAAGTATGTACACAACATTCCCATTTTATAAATAAGAAAATTGCGGCTCCAGAGAGGTTGAGGAATTTAACCTATGTCATTAACGTGTATCAGTGATGGGATTCAAAGCTAGTCTTTTTTTTTCTTTTAAAATTATGAATATTTCAAACACACAGAAAAGTAGAGAGAAATTAGTTTAATGAAATCCTGTATACCCATCACCCAGATTAAGTAGTTGTTAAGATTTTGTATTTGCTTGATCTATCCTTTTTTGTTTTGGTTTCTTCTCTTAAGTATTTTAAAATAAGCCTTACATATCATATTTTTCTCCTGTGTACTAAAGTATGCATCTCTAAAAATGTAGATGTTTCCTTATATAGTGACAATACCATTTGTTACATTCCTCCAAATAGCAAGAATGATAAAGAATGGTAAGAAGAGAAGTTGGCCAGGTGACCAAAGCCATCAACTTCAGCCTAAAGAAAACTCAGCAATTTGGTTATTAAAGGGTGGGGATGACTTCTTAACTGTTCATTTTACACAGATGAGTGGCTTTTCACAAGGACAATAATAGCTGACCCACAGTGAACTAGGTAAAGGATACAGAGGCATGTGGCAGCCAAAGCTGTCCTGATAGTGAAATGTGCCTCTTGGTGAGTTCCAAGCCTCTTTTTCTAACTAATTTTATACAATTACAATCTACGTAAGACCATAAAATTTTTAATTAATTCTTTTCTTTGAGAGATAAAATGAAGCCACGAGTTTTAAATAAATTACGCATTGGTTTTTGACGTGTGGAATCTTTCCTGATGGACTCATAACATTAAACTTACACCTTTTTTTAAGGTCTTTGATTTGCGTCAGTGTCATCGACAGATGCAGCAGCAGGCAGCCACTGCACAAGCTGCAGCCGCCGCCCAGGCAGCAGCCGTGGCAGGAAACATCCCTGGCCCAGGATCAGTAGGTGGAATAGCTCCAGCTATCAGTAAGTGTGCTTTTTTTTTTTTTTTTTTTTAAAGTGTAATAGTGGCATTTTATCTTGATTCACACAGTTGATTAGTTACTTTAAGCAATAATAGAAATTAAAGTTCTTTTTACTGGGATAATATTTTTAGTGTGTAAAAACTATTTTTCTGTGATAGTTGTCCTTTGTCTAGGACCCTGTTTGGATTATTTTTATATCAAAAAAGAGAGTATGGGACAAAGGAGAAAAGGGTTATTATTATATTGTTCCATCTCCTCTTTTTTTTGTCGATGCTTATTGAGATTCCTGCCTCACCAGCCAGGGTGGGTTGTAATTACTAAAGTGCTTGGCTTTATTCTAGTAAGGAAAGCGAATTTCAATTTCAGAATTGGACACCTCTCCATTTTTATTTTTTTTAAGTATGCTAAGCATGGAGAGAAAACTAAGTGAGGGTGGTATTTTGATAACTTGTAGACTTTTTTTTAATTTTAGGGTAAATTTGAATTGTGTGCCAGGTTTCACACTGATGGGGAATTTTTTACTGCAGAGTTAAACTCCTGACTATAGACTTTTATGATGGAAACACGTGGCACCCATCTTCCACGTCTGAAGGCATAACTAGTGATTCATTCAACCCCTGTTCTTAACCTCTTCAGTGTGGTAAGCAAATCACACTGGCTAAGAAAACTGCAGTGGCCCTGCAGGTTTCTCTACAGTACATGCAAATTCTTCCCATTAGTTTCATTGTAATATTGATGAATGCAGATTGACTTTATGACTGTATGTTCTGACTGGAAAATTAGATGCAGAGTCTCCATTCTGACTTATGTTCAGGAGTTTATAATTTAGAGATAGATAAATCATATTCATTTAGAGAATTTGATTTTTTAAAATTTGGGTATCTAAACCATTAATTTGTTAGTTTTGATGTTAAGGACATGTGTCTACTAAAGAATCCAGAACTATTATTAAATTTCTTACTCTCATCTACTGCTCCCATTGAGTAATTATGTATTATCTCTGTTACACTGTGAAAGTGACAGACAGACATCATCTGGGTCAGCCAAGAATCATAGTGGAACCAGGAATTTTAACTGCCACATTATTAGTCATATCTTACTCTAATCAAGGCTGTTTAAACAGACAGTAAAGTTTTCAGTTTTTTAATCCCTTCACCAATACTTCTAAAGGGAAAAATAGGTGGGGTGTTGGTGGATTGTGGTAATTTACTTTATAATTGGTAGTAGCTAGAAGACACATGTGGAATGTAAACTGCCTTAACCAAAAGTTTTCAGTCCCTATTGATAAAGTTTAGGTCTATAGTTAACTTCTTGGCCTTACGACAGAAGTTACATGCTGAGGAGAATGAATTAAAGAAAGTTGGTTACTTCGTTAATGTAAGAACATAGGGAGGATGGGAAGAATCACCCTGTTCCTCTGATGTTTTCCAAATCTTTTCTGTTAGGTCTGTCTGCTGCTGCTGGAATCGGTGTTGATGACCTTCGTCGCTTATGCATCCTTAGGATGAGTTTTGTAAAAGGCTGGGGACCGGATTACCCAAGACAGAGCATCAAAGAAACGCCTTGCTGGATTGAGATTCATTTGCACCGGGCCCTCCAGCTCCTAGATGAAGTACTTCACACCATGCCTATTGCAGACCCACAGCCTTTAGACTGAGGTCTTTAACTCTTGGGGCCCTTAACATTATCAGGATGGTGGACTATAAAATACAATCCTGTTTATAATCTGAAGATATATTTCACTTTTGTTCTGCTTTATCTTTTCATAAAGGGTTGAAAAATGTATTTGCTGCCTTGCTCCTAGCAGACAGAAACTGGATTAAAACAATTTTTTCCCCCTATTTAGAACTTTTCAAGCATGGCTCAGAGCTTGAAGATCAGGAAAAACACATTTTTATGAAATCTTCACCAGTTATGTATGAAGGAATCATTCCAGTGCTGGAAAATTTAGTCCTTTAAAATGTCTTAGAGCCTTTTATATGCAGAACATTGATATGTGTGTGGTTCTACAGCATAAATTTAATATTGCTGATTTTAAAGGCAAAGAAGTTCTCAAAGTTAATTCACCTGTCATTTTGTGTGTAAGTTGTTATCGTTGAACATACTTTATTCCAAAATATTGTGCCATGTGGGTGAGTTAATTTTACCAGGAGCAACTTTACTCTGTGTTTAAAAAACAAGGTAGTATGTATTATAACCTTTTATCCAAAATACTTTTTGCAAGTTAAACTAGTGAAGATGATTTCAATTCAGATTGTCTTGCAACTTCAGTTTTATTTTTGCCAAGGCAAAACACTAATCTGTGTGTACACTGAGAATTTCTTAAAATTACCAGACAAAGATATATCATTTAAAATTACGTTTGTTGTCCCTATTGGATGATTGTTTATCAACAAATATACTATTGCCCTGTACAACAGTAGATGTATTCTCTGTTTCTAGGCTCAAGGTTGGTTACTAAGCCTAGAAGAGGAATTTCTTTTCCTTTATTAATTCATAGGGAAAGGTTTTGTATTTTTAAAAACACTAAAAGCAGTGTCACTCTACCTAATATCACTTCTGCAAAGGTGGCAATGCTTAAACTAAATAATAAGTATTTTGGAAACTGCTAAATTCTATGTTAAATACTGTGCAAAATAATGGAAACATTATAGTTCATAATAGGTAGTTTGGATATTTTTGTACCTGATTTGAAGTGTGACTTTTTTTTTCATAATACTGTTTAAATCGTGTATGTTATGACATCATTTAAAATTCAGTTTTTGTATCTTGGGGCAAGACTGCAAACTTTTTTATACCTTTTGGTTATTCTAAGCCCTTTGCCATCAATGATATCGTATCAATTGGCAGTGACTTTGTATAGAGAATTTAAGTAGAAAAGTTGCAGATGTGTTGACTGTACCACAGACACAATATGTATGCATTTTACGTAGCTAGTAGCATAAATAAAACTGAATCTCGACATACAAAGTTGAATTCTAGATTTGATTTTTAAGATTTTTATCCATTGCACTTTTGAGTCCAATCTCAGTGGCAAGACACCTTCTATTAAATGACAGGCAGCAGCCAGTTCTATTGGGCAGCTTTGGTTTTTCCTTCACATTCTACCAGGACTTCCATATGGACATGATGTATCATGTGTAAAGTTGGTTATTTTTTTTAACTTTTATTTTACTATAGCAAAAATAGGCCTGAGTGTCTATAAGATAAATAGATTATCTACAGGATAAATAGTGTGAAATAAAATCAAGGATTATCTTTCAGATGCTTTTACTTTTTGCTTGGAGGGCCTTTATAAGTTTAATAAAATTCTTTACGGTGTGTTATACATTTGAGCTATAGAAACACTTAATGCATGATAGTCCTCCTTTTATTAACTGAAATGAACAAGTCTTATTATTGCCTTGCTCCAAAGGTTTTCTTAGTAAGACCATTCTAGAAACCACTGAGTTTGCTTACTGTTAGGATTTAAACATTGATCTTGATCTAAGCTACATGTCTTTTGACTTTTAAATAACTTCTCTACCAACTCATTTGTGCTCTTGAGTACTTACAAATATTTTTGGTAAAGATCTCATTTTCATCTGTAAAAGTTTAATGATTTAAGTTTTATTGGCAGATTTATAAAAAGATACTTCTCTAGAAATTGTTTTTAGGTCCATTTTATTGTGAATGAGGAATAGGAGTGAGAGTTTTTGAATAATAGATTTTTTAAAAAATCCAGATGATTTGATTAAAACCTTAACCATGCATTGATATAACGTTGCCTCCTTTTCTACTTTAGGTAAGGTTTTCATGTTTAACCATCTGGAGAGAGTATGTGGAAAATATTTGCTAAGAAGTATCTCTTTGGAGCCAAGCCACTTGTCTTGGTTTCTTTCTACTAAAAGCCATAAAATATAGAAGAACTTGTAGTTATTACTTATATTTGTACTTCGAGTCAGTCATGTGCTTTTGAGAAAACATCTAGTATGTTATCCTGAGAGCTTGGTTGTTGAAACTGTATTTCTGTTACTTAGAGGTGGTCATCTTTGATTAGTAAGATGAAAGACTCTTACTAGTTTTAAAATTTTATGTCTGCTTTAAGGGTAAAATAATTTCTGCAGTTCTCAGAATCTGATTACTATGAGGATATTATTCTGGGTGGGATTTCTCTAGCTAATTCATATCTTAAAGACTCTCAAGCTATTGAATTTTAGTGAAAACTGAATGAGAGGTGAACCAATTACTTACAGTATGAGACCCATTCCATTTTTGTCCAGTGCCTTTCAGTGCATTATCAAAGGAAATCCTTAATGGTGTTGCCTTTATTTTCCGGGGAGTAGATTCTTTCGTGGGATATAGTTTATCTTGTTTTTTATAGTTTATTGTCCCTGGTATGATAATAAATCACTGCCATATACCCTTGCTTTACCAGAAACACAGCTCATCTGTATTGCCCTAACCGCTAAATAGATTGCCTATCTCATTTCTCCTGTAAACAGTACAGGTTTACAAGTTGCATGGTCTGTCTTAAGGATAATCTGTACTTGAAGCATCCAAGTAGACTGAACACCACGTTAGCTGTGTTGTATTTCAAAGTTAAAAATCCGTTTTTGTGGGGAAGGGTGTGATGTGTAAAGGGGGAGTATTTGTAGTAGAAATTTTGAAGGCAAAATGTCCTGTCTTCCAGATAATAAATATCTTACTATCTTAAAAGTTTATTGCTAATTATAAGAAGGTGAGTTGCAGGTATCTTTTTGACTGTAGTTATCTGGGGAAGGAAAATTATATATTTTTCCATAATACTCCTTAATTATCTGTGGAGGTTAAGGAATAAATGGTAAGATTTTTCTGGTGGTAACTGGTTAATAGTTACTTACTAGCTATTTTATGCAAAGTTGGATTAGTTCACACCCCTTTTGAGAGCCTTTGAAAGAAGCAGTTTTATTCTCTGAGTAGGGCAGAGTTATTTGTGGTGTTAGTTTCAGTAGTTTGCTTGCTTCATCATTGTCATTTTATTGGTATTTTATTTAGTGAGAGCAGATTAGGAAAATGGTGAATTTAGATTCCTGAGGTACATGAGTATATGAAAGCAGTTACTTGAAATGTCAGTTAACAACTCTTATAAGTGGGGCTTGGCTGAGACTAGAAGGTAACACTTTAGATGAAGAAATGCTTTATTTTTTTTTCTAAAGGTAGACGTATGTTGTTGCAGATAATTATCTGTAAATAATCTCCTAAATCTGCCTTTGCAAGATTATAGAGAATATGCTATGAGATTTTTGTGCAAGCTTTTCTCCCCCCCCCCCCCCGATAATAGGTAATTTTTTTCTTCTAATATGCCAGGAAAGATGTAAAAAATCAGTGGCCTTACTCATAGCAGCATCCTAGGCCCAGCTTTCTCCCTAGCACTTGTCCCAGTGCTACTAGGTTGTTTTATCTTGTTTATTTGGTATCACTGTGGAATGAAATTTTCCACATAATCCAAATATGCCTTATTTAAGCAGCAAAACTTTTTTATTTTAGTCATTTTTTTGATGGAGTTATTTAATATGCATATCAGAGAGTATACTGGATATAACATTTCTTTTTGTGCTTAGCTGTCTTTGTGGACCTCAGGGGCTTCCAAGACAGGCAAGACTGTTTTGCCTTTACTAATTGGTCTCAGATGGCTATGGTTTTGAATTCTTGGTCTTTTTTTTTTTTTTTTAACCCCCCTCTCCCCTCATTGTCTTTTCCCTTTCTGACAGCTATCACTTCATGTGTGGTTGTTAGTGTGCCTCTCCTTAGTATTTTCTTCTTCCGTTTCCAATTCATTGCTTGGGCAAGGAAACCAGGTAACCAAACTTAATAGAACTTTCTTTGAAACACAAATTCTGGGACAGGACCCAAGACACTTCCTTGTATAGTGTTGAAAAAGACTTCAGTATATTGTCATTTGGCATTGGTTTGACTACTTAGAGTGCTTCCTGATGCTTGCTGAGTTTCAGGTAGTTGAGGTAGAGAGAAGTGAGTTATATTCATATTTTCCCACTTAGAGTAATGTTTTTGAAAGGTTTCATTATATCCACTTGAATGCTGCTCATACAAAAAGTGGGGTTACAAGGGTTACTAAATTAGTATCAGTAGACAGGGGCAGTACCATTGCCTAAAGGACACCAACAAACAACACAACACAGTACAACAAAACAAACCTTGGAAAATGAGAGGGTCATTTTTGTTTTGTTTTGGTGTCCCCTTTTAAGCCCTACCTTCTGATCTTCTTCCTCTACAGATATTTTTGACCTATAGGTGCCTTTATGAAAATTGAGAGTGTTAATATCCTGCCCCAAGGAGTAGCTAAAGTAATTTCTGATGTTTTCAGTGGTTTTCACATCAGACTTGAATGAATGAATGAAGCTTTTTTCCTTTTTTTTTTTTTAAATATAGGAAGACCTGAAGAGAAAACTTCTGTGAAGACAATCATTTCTCTCAGTTGATGTGAATATTTTTCACACAGTTTATTTAAGATGCTTTCTCAATAGGTCCAGGGCCAGTGTTCTTGTTCAACCTGAAATGAATGGCTCTGGGTTGGGCCACTTGCACTCTCTAGTTTGTACTCTGCCCCTAATTTGATATATGACCTTGGGCAAGTCATTTACCTTCTCTGGGCCTCAGTTGCCTCATCTGTAAAATGAGGGAGTTGGACTAGATTAGTTATTCCAGCTCTGAAATTCTAAGTGACCTTGCCTACCTTGCAGCAGTTTTGGATTTTTCCTTACCTTTGCTCTGCTGTTTGAGGTTGGTTTTTTTTTTTTTTGTTTGTTCTTTGTTTTTTTTTTTTACTTATTTCGATGTTATTCAAATGAGACTAGGCTTGATATTTTATTACTGTTCTCCTATGGACAAGAAGTTACATAATATTTCCTTAAGACTTAGTTTTAACCAAAGGCCTAGCATCATCTTAGGAGCTGCAATAAACACTTTACAAAAAAAGAAAAAAGAAAAAAATGGGGGGGGGGGAAGCCTTCATTTTATTTCTCCATCATCTCTGTTTAAAGTTCATTAAGGCTTTTTTTTTGAGTCATGACTTTCTAGCTTCCAAGATGGTATATATGTGATACCAACCTCCTAAATGCTGTGTGCTGGTAATTTTTTTTTTTTTTTTTTTTAGCTAAAATGGATTAAAAACCTGTTGTTAATGTCTAATTCTATTAAAGGTCATTACTTTGGGCCTTTGCTTTCTTAACTCTTCTGTGCTCAAAACAGAAATTCCTCTGAACTGTATCAATTAAAATGGTTTGTATGACTCAAAACAATATTGGTAGCTGATTATTCACTGTATTCTTGGCTCTTTTTAGATACATTTTGATTAGATGACTTTTGTCTGGATCATTCCTTTCAGAGTTCTCTTCCAGTCTACCCTTGGATGAGTATAATTAATGAACTTGGCTTTTTCAAGGACCTAGGGAGCCTTCCTTGGGGGTGGGTTGAGGGTGGGGGGTTGGGGAGTCCTGGTAGAGGCCAGCTCTGTGGTAGCTGGAGAGGAAGGGATGAAATCAGCTGCTGTTGCTAAGGTTGCTTGTCATTGATAGAAGGACTCATGGGCTTGGATTGATTAAAAGGCTAAATATGGAGTTGGCAAACTTCCTCCAAGTATTGAGTTCTGTTCAATGCATTGGACATGTGACTTAAGGGAAAAGTATGAATGCTTGTAGATGATGAAAACCTGGTGGGCTGCAAAGTCCAGTTTGGAAGAAGTGACTAGGGGGTTGTGGACAGATTTGGTGATCATATTTCCCAACTCTGTTTCCTCCCCTGAAGTCAGAGGAATGCAGCTCTGCCAAAACTCAAAGAAGAGCCACTCTTAGCTTCTGCTTTTGGGAAAACTGGTCAGCTGATTGCTCCAGTAGTCCCTTTGTGGCTTTCTGTATACTTTTGCCTGGTTGAAGTCTGTGGCTAAAAAAATAGTTGAATCTTTCTTGAGAACTCTGTAACAAAGTATGTTTTTGATTAAAAGAAAAAGCCAATTAAATCATTATGTGCTCATTCTTTTTCTTAAGCTTGTGGATGTCATGGATCTGGAAAGAGTTTCTAACCACTTAGAGAACTCTCAAACTTGAGGTCAACATTTTCCCTTATTGCTTTGTGGCTGTTGAAAAGGGAAATACAACATTTTAAACATGACCCTGGAATAACAGTCCTCAATCTTTTCTCATTCTTATAAGGAGAAAGGGGTGGAGTAATGGTAGAGAAGAGGTGGGTGCTAAGGGATTATGAGAACCAGGATGCTTAAAGGAGAGGCAGAAATTGGAAATTGGAGACCCTGCCATTGCCCATCTAAGGCTTAAGGAAAGGTGTTTCTCTCCCAGCTTCCTCTTCTATGGGGAGTTCCTGGGGGTGGGGGGTGGTCAGGTAAGATGATTTTATGGCAATGGCTTGTAATAGCATGGCCACATCAGTATTTTCTTTCTGATCTTGCTGACATGAATTTTGTAGATATTAGGTTGAGAGACTCATTCTCACATGTTTGCGAACCTAAAGTTGACAGTATTTTAGGCTAGAACTTGAAGAGGGTTGAGGGAAAAAACATTATTTGTGGAGTACTTCAGGAGAAAGGGCAGTTGTGTATGTTCTTCATCTCTCTCTGCCCTCTTTTCTTGACCGTTGATTTTTTGTGCTTTATTCCATCTCCACCCTCATAATAACTCTCCCACAAATGGTGATCTCAAAAGTTAAGACATCCCCAGCTCTCCGTCATACCTTTCCCACCCCCATCATCTCACTGATAAATTGCAGTGCTCTTTCCTTACAGCCCTCTGTGTTTGAAAAGAGTAATTCTCTTAGTTCTGACCCTACTTTTGGGGTGGCATTTGCTTCTGTATTTTGAGGTAGTCTTTTTGGGCCACCAGTTGGTCTCAGAGAAATGGGCAGGATAGGTTCAGGGAGACCAAAAAATGATTAAAGGAAGTTCTTTAAACAGAAAGATATGATAAAAGAAGGAAAGTTGGAACATCAGGAAGAAGGAAAAAATATGGTAAACAAAAATGTGGGTAAGTAGTTTTCCTTCTCATTTTGAGAAAATTATGTTTGATAGTTGAAGCAAAAATTATAACACTGCCTAAAGTGATTCTAAATGTATCTGGAGGAAATATTTTTAAAAATTGTAAGCAGGGAAGAGTAAAGAAGTGGAGCATGTAGGAGTGTAAATTTTCTTCATTTCACCCAATCTGATAAAATGACAGTAGTAGACTGCAATAAGTTATGAATATATAATGTAATATTTAGTACAACTACTGAAAAAACTATATAAAGAGATACACTCAAAAACACTATAGATAAATGAAAATCGAATTCTAAAAAATGTTCAAAGAACCCAGAATAGGAAAAAGAACAAAACACAGAACCAAAATAAAATTTTAAAATGTACTAAGATATAATAATTATGTTAAATGTAAATAATCAAATGGCAGAATGGATTAAGAAACGTGACCAAACTATATGCTGACTACAAGAAACTAACTTCAAACATAACTATCGGTAGGCTGAAAGAAAAAGTATGAAAAATATATACCAAGTAAACATTAATCAAAAGAAAGCAGGAGTAGGCTATATTAATATCAGATAAAGTAAATCTCAGAGCAAAGAAACATACCAAGGAGGGAAATTATATAATGATAAAAAGGTCAATTCATCAAGAAGACATAGGAATCCTAAATATGTATGCATGAAACAACATAGCTGCAAAATATGTGAAGCAAAAAAATGATGGAACTGTGGAGAAATAAATCCACAACTATAGTTGGGGACTACAGTACCCACTTTTCAACAATGGATAGGAGAACTAAACAAAATCATCAAGAGTATAGAAGAACTCAACACCACTATCAGCCAGTAAGATCTGATTGACATTTATAGGATAAGTTATCCAACAACAGCAAAATACATATGCTTTTCAATTGCTAACACAACATACAAATATAAATCACATCATGGACCTTAAAACAAAACTCAACAAATTTAAAAGAATTGAAATCATAGACCATTCTCTGTTCACAGTGTAATCAAACTAGGAATCATTAGCAGAAAGATAACAGGAAAATCTTCAAACACATGAAACTAAACAACACACTTTTAAATAATCAATGAGTCAAAGAAGAGGCCTCAAGGTAAATGTAAAAAAAAACAAAACAGTGAGCTAAAAGAAAATGAAAAAAAAAAAAATCAATGTTGGCAGGACATGGCTAAAGAATTGCTAAAAGAGAAATTTATAGCACTAAATGCAAACTTTAGAAAAGAGGAAGTCTTAATACTTTAAGCTCTCTTCAAATACATTGAGAAAGAAGAACAAAAAGCAAGCAGAAGGAAGGAAATGTAGGAAAAAAGTCAATAAAGTTGAAACAAAAACAATAATGTTGAAGAAACAAAGAACTGGTTCTTTGGAAAGATTAAATTTGATAAACCTCTGGCAAGACTGACAAAAAAAGACAACCAACCTGGAGAATAAAACAGGATATCACTACAGACTGCAGACATGAAAAGGATAATAAAGGATTACTACTAACAACTACAAATATCAAACACACACACACACACACACACACACACACACACACACACACATTTGTTTGTTTTGCAGTGACTGGTATGAGGATCTGAACCTTTGGTGTATACCGTGCCCTAACCAGCTGAGTCAGCTATCTACACACATAAATTTGACAACCTAGATGAAATGCACCCATTTCTTGAAAAACTTCCACAACTCACCCAATATAAAATGGATTATTTATTTGGATAAGCCTAAACCTATTAAGGAAATTCCAAAAAAGAAATTCCAGACCCAGATGGTTTCACTGAAGAATTCTTACCAAAGAAGAATTAACACCAATTCTGGTCTTTACAGAAAATAGAAGGGAATGCTTCGCAGTTCATTTTATGAAGCTAGTATTACCCTGATACAAAATCAAAGATAATACGAAAAAAGAAAACTACAGACCAATATCCTTCATAAATATTCATGCAAAAATTCTTAACAAAAAATAAGCAAATTGAATTTAGCAACATATAAAAAAGAACAATACACTGTGATCAAGTGGGGTTTATTCCAGGAATACCGAACTGGTTTAATAATTGAAAACCACCACATTATCAGACTAAAGAAGAAAAATATAGCAATAGATGCAGAAAAAGCATGTGACTAAACTCAACACCCATTCATGATTAAAAACTGAAAAATAGGAATAGAGAGGAACTTCCTCAACTTGATAAAGAGCATCTATAAAGAAAACCTACATTACACCTCAAGGAACTAGAAAAACAAGAACAAACCAAACCCAAAATCAGTAGAAGGAGAGAAATAACAAAGAGCAGAAATAAATGAATTAGAGCTAAAACAAAAAAAAAATACAAAAGGTCGATGAAATGAGTTTTTCTTTTGGAAAGATGAAATTGATAAACCTTTAGCTAGACTAATGAAGAAGAAAAGACAAATGAAAAAGGAGACATTACAACTGATACCACAGAAATACAAAGGATCATAAGAGACTAATATGAACAGCTCTATGAGAACAAACTGGAAAACCTAGAAGAAATGGATAAATTTCTGGACACATACAACTTACCAAGGTTGAATCATGAACTAGAAAACCTAAACAGACCATGACTAATGAGACTGAAGCAGTGATAAAGACTCCCAACAAAGAAAACCCCAGGACTAGATAGCTTTACTGGGGATTTCTACCAAACATTTAAAGAACTAATACCAAATCTCAGACTCCTCCAGAAAATTGAAGAGGAGGTGATACTTCCAAATTCATTCTACAAGGCCAATATTAACCTTATACCAAAACCAGAAAAAGATACAACAATATTCCTAATGAACACAGATATGAAGATCCTCAACAAAATACTACCAAACAATCCAACAACACATTAAAAAGATCATTCACCATGATAAAGTGGGATTCATCCCATGGATGCAAAGATGGTTCATCATATGCAAATCAATAAGCATTATACATCACATCAACAGAACGAGGGAAAAAAAACTACATGGTCATTGCAATAGATGCAGAAAAAGCTTTTGATAAAATCCAACACCACTTCATGATAAAAACAAACTAGGTATAGGAGGAATGTACCTAAACATAATAAAGGCCTTATATGATGAACCCACAGCTAATATACTAAGTGGACAAAAATCGGAGGCTTTTCCTCTAAGATCTTAAACAAGACAAGGATGCCCACTTTCCCCACTCTTATTCAACATAGTACTGGAAGTTCTAGTCAGCACAGTAAAGCAAGAGAAAGCAATAAAGGGCATCCAAATGGGAAAGGAGGAAGTCAAACTATCCCTATTTGCTCTTGATATGATTATGTACATAGAAAACCCTAAAGACTCCACAAAAAAATTACTAGAACTAATAAATGAATTCAGTATAGTGACAGGATGCAAAATCAGCACACAAAAATCAATAGCCTTCTTATACACCAGTAACAAAATAGTTGAAGAAGAAATCAAGAAAGTAATCTCAATTCACAATAGCTATCAAAAAAAGCGAAGTAAGGGCTGGCCCATTGCTTACTTGGGAGAGTGTGGTGCTGATAGCACCAAAGCCACAGGTTCGGATCCCTATATAGGGATGGCCAGTTAGCTCACTTGGGAGAGCATGGTGCTAACAACACCAAGTCAAAGGTTAAGATCCCCTTACCAGTCATCTTTAAAAACAAAACAAAAAAAAAAACCTAACAACACCAAGTCAAAGGTTAAGATCCCCTTACCAGTCATCTTTAAAAACAAAACAAAACAAAAAAACACAACAACAAAGAAAACAAAGTACCTAGGAGTAAATTTAACCAAGGAGGGGGCTGTGGGCCTCAGCTCCACCCCCACACAATCAGGAAAGCAACAGAGCCAGCTGCCCTGGATCCTGAGATGGAATTGAGGGCCAGCCCCACTTCCCCACCCCCTGCAACAACATCTTAGAATGTACTTATTAGCCATGTGTGTTTTTTGGGGGTGTGTGACTTATCTGC